TTCGGGCTTGGGTTTAGGGTTTAGGTTTAGGAAACCTTATTGTTGGTGTTCCTTGTAATGATTTTCCTTCTACAAATCCTGAAAAAGCTAGTTGTCGGAGTCGGGTTTTAAAAGTGGGGTATGAACTTTAGGGCAATGTTCACAGCTGACTATAAAGGCCAGAAGAAGCTACTGGCAGGGCTCTAGAGGCATCCAAGAGTATCCACGATCTTCAAGGTGTCCTCGACAAAGGCAATCGGAAATGATTCCTAAAAGGATAACTTTTAGTTGATAGGTATCTGTAGAGGCCAGTAGACTGTCGCTTCAAGCTCACAGACACGTACTCCTAAACAACAATCCTTAGAATGCGAACAAGGATACAAAATACCCAGCGGCCTACCGAGGTCAGTTGAAGCATGCATCGACGAGACAGAAAGCAACAGCTCGGATTGACACCCGAGACAACACTGGGCAGCAAAGTTTCGGAGCATCATCGGGGGAGCACGTCGGCACCGAGATGACAGTCTATGATCCCAACTCCCGAAGCCAGGACAGCCACAAAGCCTCCGACAAGTTTAATCCACAAAATGACCTATGTGCCCATGAGGCAGATACAGCTTCTACATACGACTTGCAGTGTATCCTACGGAGTGATGGCATCACGCCATAGTATAACCCTGAACCCTAAACCCTCTAATGCATACTATACATAATTTACTATAATTAGACTTCGTTATACTAGTATGTTCTATATAATACTCTCTCTATCTCCCTCTCCTCTCTCTCTCTCTCTATATATATATATATGTATACTATCATTACAAAGAGGCCATAAGCCCTAAGCTCTTCCAAGACACCTCTCCAGCAGCTGTTCAAACTCCATGGCGCTGAAGCGGGGCGAAACTGATAACGAGAAGGCCTAAACCACAAGCAGAAAGGCCGTTGATTTCGGGGCTCAGGGCTCAAATCCTGAAACCTTGAAACCAAAACCCTAAACGGCTTCAGGGTCTCGGGCTTCGCAAGTAAAGTTGAGGAAATGTTCGATGCACGCCGACGTCGAACCTCTTCTTTTCGAAACCCTGTGCCAGATAAGCTCGAAGCAGCAAGACCAGAATATGTGCAGGGTTTAGGGTCGCGGGTTTATTGGCGTTTTGGGCTTGGGGTCTCGGGCCTTGGGTTTAGGGTTAAGCGTTTAGGGGTGCAGAGATTAAGGTTTAGGATCGAAGCCGCACCGGCTGAATAAATAGAGGGCTTGGGAGTATAAGTGCCTTAAGTGACTACGGTTGGTGGACAAAATCCTGCATGACCTTAAGGACCCTAAACTATGGGAATTATGGTATATTCCTTATAGTGGGTAATGCAGGATTTTGTCCATCAACCGTATGACTCTCCAAGGACTATATATTGGGAATAGTACTAGTAGGTAAGCCGACCGCAACTTCCTGTAGCCTCAACAACCCCGGCATGGACTGAGGTACTGGTGATTCATGCTGGGATTCCCTTGGCTACACATCATTGGCATGAGGACTTGTCCAGTTTCCTCCAGGGGAACCGAAGGTTGAGAATAGAAAGGGATCAATGGTTTAGGGTTTAGGGTTGACCCTAAACCCTAAACCCAGAACCGTTTAGCGGGTAACACTAAAAGAGTCGCTAGAGTAATCTGGAAAGGAAAGGGGGCCAAAAGGTTGCCGACTCGGCTACTTTTAGGATCAGATGACCCTTGATAGTGGCGGGCCCTTCTCCCTCATACTATGTTTTCCTACATGGTATATGAACCTTAAACCCTTTCGGGTGTCAGAGCTCGGATTTTTCGCAGCGGCCATCGCGCACGGAGACGGTCACACTCCACCGCTATTGCGGGTACGTCAGTTTTATGGCTATTATCGGGCATCTGTTATACAGACAAGTAGATACGCCGCAAAAGCGGTAGGTTTGACCCTACAGGTACCGCTGCGCCATCTGTGGAGGTCATCTGTGGAGCTCACCTCTGAGCAGCTAGGGGAAGCTTGGAGTTGCTGTAAGGACATCCGGAAGCCCTGAACATCCCTAACCCTAAACCCTTAACCCGAAACCCCTAAACCCACAACCCTAAAAGTTCAGGCTTTAGGCTCAGTGTTTGGGTTTAGGGAAGCTGAAGCATATAGTCTGTCAGCTCATGCGTCGGACTGTCGGCATCATCCTAGACTCGGCCTTTAGGGCTTAGGGTTTAGGAACGCAAAACACCCGCCATTAAGTGTGAGGCCGCAAGGATTCTCAAACACAACCACACAGAGAATTTAACCGCTGGTGAAGCCGTCTAAAACCCTAAACCCAAAACCCTAAACCCCTAAACCCTAAACCCTAAACCCTAAACCCCTGCGCCCCAGTATGATCCTTCAGGCTAAGAAGCTGGCCGGAGCCCCCGACGCGCTGCGCTCGCTGCGCCTCATGGTGATTGCAATGCTCAGAACAACCTCAAAGGCTTGTGTAGTGCGGTCTTTGAGCCACCAAACCCAGTATGATAAACATACATATGCATACGCATACACTTTCCATATATATATATACACATATGTAGATACACATATATATATATATATATATGTATATATATATATATATATATTATATACATATGTATGTATATACATATATGTATATTTTCGATTTTGCTTATTTAACCATGTACATGTTGAGCCTGAACCCTAAGTGTCTGTCCTGATAGTCTTTGAGAAACGAGCTCCGTTTTTGCCACGGGCCTAGTAGGATCCTCTAAAGCACCCTCTCCGAGCCGCTTCCCAAATAGAGCCAAATGGTGAACAAACCCCATTGCTATGTTTTCAATAAAACTGGCTATGTTTGATATTTACATCAGTACTACTATATCTCCGTTTCCGTCCCCTGACACATCGATCAAACCCTGCCTGGCGCTCTTCGAACTTCTGCGTTCGCTCATCCCATTCCTTGATGTCTTGGAGTCGTGGGTTTCTTTGCGAAGCTACTTGGGGATATAAGTATAATTGTAAGTATATAGTTACCTTATCAATACCCTAGTTACGAATTCCCATGGTCCTTCCAGTAATGCTTGCAGTCTCTTCGATCGACCCCAACACAGGAACGGCTTGGGGCTTGTATGGTCAAGGTTTGACGATCTCCTACGAAGACCACTGAAAAATCATGATAAGTTGAATGACACCTGTCGAGACTGTCGAGACAACTAACATTCGATACGTACATGAACCCATAACTTCACTTAGATCCCGGCTACGGCTACTTTACAGAAATGAAGTGAATTTCTTGCCCACAGCATCTGCATGTGTTGCAAGTCGCAGTCCCGCTTGCTGTATCATGTGAAGTTTCTAGTAAACACTCGCCGGTATTCAGATGGAGCCCTAGATAGACTAATGAATATTCTAACACAAAGCCATGGACCTCAAAAGAACCTAGTGCCCCTAACGTAGCCTTACAATGCTTCAGCTTCCGGGCGAAAACATAGCCAAGTCTTTTTCCTACAAATAGCCTTCCTTGGTTCCATGCGTCACGGTGAACCCCCAATCTTAAATTCCCAAATGGGTCCAAAGTACCTATATTGTAGAATGTAGGGATTCTATATCTCAAGCAGCTCAGCCACCGCCGGCCCAAACGGGGGCCCGGGTGCACGCCGTATGACCTCGAGGTTGTCAGTTTCTAGGGTTTAGGGTTGAGGGTTCAGGGTTTCCGATATAGGTCTCAGGGTGTAGGGTTGTACAGGCTAAGCCATATCCCTTAATTACGGCGTTGAACCTCTTTAAAAAGCCTGTAAACCCGCACAAAAACCCTACACATCGCTTAAGACCTTTGCCGGGGTTTAGGGTCAAGGGCTTTAGGGTTTATTTTGGGATTTGAAGCTTAATTACGGGTTTTAGGGTTTAGGGTTGGGAAGAATAGAGCACGAAGGTTTCAGACGAGTTTAAGTTTTCGAGTGGTGTAGGCTTTATGATTTAGGGTTTGGGGTGAATGCCTTCGTGCCACGCAAGTGTAGTCAGAGCAGTTTTTGTATCAAAAGCCCACTAGAGCCCTAAACTTATAAACCCTAAACTTATGAACCTGAACCCTTATAAACCCTAAGCTATTTTTAGCAGCTCAAGTCAAGCCCAAGACGTGAACAAAAGCCCAACATCCTGGAGCCGTCATCCCGTGAATACATACACCCTGCAGTAATCTGCCATTGTTTAGGGTTTAGGGGTTTAGGGTTTAGGATTTAGGGGTTTAGGCATTCACCTAGACCTAGCTTTACAATAATGCCTATAAGAACAGATAAACGACCCTGCGACAAAAGAAGTTGTGGCCCCCTGGGCCCTAAACCCTGCATCTAAAGCCAGCACCCCAAACCCCTGCCCCGTGTTCCCCTCCGCCCAAACACAAAAGCGTGAAGCCCCCCTACAGCCGCCAAAGCTCAAAACCGCTCCGTATGCATGTATGTATGCATGCATGCATGGACGTATGAATGTATGAATGTATGTATGTAGTATGTATGTGAACACAGTGCTATCTTACCATGTAGATTGACATGAACACATTGAGGTCGGCGCGGGCTGAGAGTCCCAAGGCGTATCGTCCACGATCTGCTGGCTCAGGCCGCCTCTGCCGGCTTCCCAGAGTTTAGCGGTTTAGGGTTTAG